AGGATTTTTTTCCCTAGTCCAGGGATCTGTGATCCCTGAAGCCTTGTCCAGGCCTGTGGTTTCCATCAATCCCAGTGAGGCTACGACTTCCAGCCCCTCTCCTGAGGTCTGCACCCCTTTACCCAGGGACTTACGGGATACTAAAGAGCCTGTGTGTGTGTGCGTCTCTCTCTCTCAAGTGGCTCAAACGTAACGTGCAAAGCTGGACTCGTGCTTTCTCATGAAGCTGTGACCCTCTGCAGTTCCTTCTGTTATTTAATAGCAGTGTCTGTTACCCAGCCAGGATTAGGGTCACCCCTGATTGCCGTCCTCTCTTCTCCGTTTGGGAGGGTGAGGAGGGAGAGGAGTAGCTTAAATCTATGGATTCTGTTCTTCAAATCACTCATCATGGCCCGTCCTTTCTCCCCCTCCTGCTGCTGTTGCCTTTCTTCCCCCTTGGATCGTTGCTAGGGCCGTTGGAGGCAGTAGTCTCCCTGCCTCCGTTCTTGCATCTTTCCAGTCCATGTTCCCTTCTGCCTCACCTCCTTCTGCAGACAGGTTTGGTCGTGTTCTTCCCAGCTTGAAGTCCTTCAGTGGTGCCCCGTTGCCCACAGGGACTGGATCAAGGCCCTCAGCCCTGGCCCTGTTTTTCTCCGTTCCCCACATGCATGCGATGATGCTCAAGCCGCAGAACCGTCTGAATTGCTTCCCTGCAGTGGGCCCTACTTCACATCCCTTTCTCCTCCCCACAACATCCACCTGGGAGACTCCTACTCATCCATCAGAACCCCTCTCCCCAGTCTCCTTTCTCCTTTGTGCTGCTACTCTTGTGTCTACCTTTGTTGTACTCACTGCACTGCGGGTGCTGGTTGCCACTGAGTCATTCCCGGCTCGTGGTGGCCCCGTCTGTTGCGGCATAGAACTGCACTCCACGGGGTTTGCATGACTGACCTTTCAGAAGCAGGTGCCAGGCCTTCATTCCAAGGTCCGTCTGGGGGGGTTCAAACCACCAGTCTTTGCAGTTTGCAGGTCTTCTTGGTGCTGGTGAGTCGGCCTGGCATGTGGTAGGTAGGAAGTCAGTGCCTCTTGAATTGCAGGTGGGTCTTAAAGGATGCCAGGTCCTTCACAGCTAACAGTTTCTCAAAAGGTTAAACATGAAGTTAGTCCATGACCCAACAGTTCCACTCCTAATGTATACCCTAGAGAACTGAAAACATGTCCACACAAAAACTTGTACACTGATGTTCATAGCGGCATATTTGTAACAGCCAAAAAGTGGAAACAGTCCAGCATCTGTCAGCTGATGAATGGATAGACAAAGAGCGGTCCATCCTTAGAGTGGAATATCATTCAGCCATAAAAAGCAGTGAATTACTGGCACGTGCTACACGTGGGTGAACCTGGACGTTGTGCTAAGTGAAAGAAGCCAGGTACAAAATGCACAAATCGTGTGATTCTACTTATGTGGAATGTCCAGATACGCAGCTCTTGAGGGACCAGCGGCAGGTTAGTGCTTGCCAGAGGTTATGGGGAGATGGGCAGTGACTGTTAGGGGGCGAGGGTTTCTTTTTAGGGTGATGATTGTACAAGTCTGTGAACATACTCAAAACCATTGGATTGTACATTTTACGTGGATGAACTCCATGCTGTGTGAATTATATCTCATTAAAGCAAAATGAGTGGATACAAAATGTGAATAGGATTAGGTGATGACTTAGCTGTGCGGTGGTTATTGAAAGTCATGTCTTTTGACTGGAGCTGGTATAAATTCCTTAGCTCTGGCCTTTCAGATGGTAGCTTCTTTGGAACTCACCCAGGGGGCCAGTGGTGTATGAACGGTACCATTGCTCCTTGTTCTTCCCCTGCTTAGCTGGGTGTGGAACAGTGATGCTGGTATTAGACGCAGCTGGGGAACTCGGTAACAGGACAAAGGCCCAGGCCCTGTCCTGCTTCAGGATTCTGATCCACAGCAAAGTCTGAGAGCTGGTACAGGATCTAGGAGCTTGGGACCCACAAATCTGTCTCCCCTGGTAGGACATGGAGTTACGCCATGACCTAGCAGCTGGTAGGGTTGGGAAGGAGCCTTTTCAAAGCAGGCATTCTCTCCTCCGTCTCTGGTGTTCCTGATCTTGCCTAAGGCTCCAGCCAGGATGTTGTTTGTTGCCTCATGGGATTTTCCTTGACTCCCCGTTGCCTCAGACAGTGGGTTGACCCCCTAAGCTCTCTTGCACACAGTACTTACATTGCAGCCCTTATCCTTTGGTTGCTCTTTTGCCCCCTCCACAGCCAGTAGGGGCCTTAACCATTCCTGCAGCCCCAGTTACAATGGCTGGCCTGGTAAATGTTTACAGTTTTTAAAATTGCAGATTGAAGGTAAGTCCAGAGCTGCCCGATTGAGTAAGGTTTGTTTTTTATCTTTGAGAAGGTTTTGGAGTTTGACCGTAACTATCACAACATCTATGGACGTGAGTTTTCCCGAGGCAGCTCTCCAAATGCTGAATGAAACTAGCCTTTGGACAGTAGACGTGAAATGATTGTATCTTCCCTTGGCACCCTGTAATCAGAGAGGCCCAGTGCAGTGTTCTGCGTGATACCTTGTGAACCCATCTGATCCTGATTCTAAGAGTGGTTTTCCTTGCCTCTTTGTAGAACAATGCTAAAGTAGCCGTGCTGGGGGCTTCTGGAGGAATCGGGCAGCCCCTTTCTCTTCTCCTGAAGAACAGCCCCCTGGTGAGCCGCCTCACCCTCTACGACATCGCTCACACACCCGGAGTAGCCGCTGACCTGAGCCACATCGAGACCAGAGCAGTTGTGAAAGGTATGAGGTGTGCTGGCCTGTCGGGCTGCATCTCTCCTCCACAGGAGACATGGGTGCAGGTTCAGGGGAAGATTTTCTTCATAAAATTTTAATTGTGATTTGGGTGAAAGTTTACAGAGCAAATTCACTTTCCATACACAGCAGCTCACATACGCTATGTCTCATGACATTGACTACAATTTCCCATTATGCAACAGCTCCCCTCCCACTTCCTCTCCATAGCTACCTCTTCCCTGTGTCCATAGTCACCTCTTCCCTGTGTCCTTCCCTCCCATGCACTCCTGCCCCCTGAGCTGTCTCCCTTGTGCACATGCAACCCTTCTGTTCTCCCATGATTGACCTCTCCAAGGAGTGTATCTATCTCAGATGTTCAGCTCGTATGCCTGTCTTTTGTTTTGCTGGAAGGCATGGGGGTGGGTTCAGTTCCGGACCTGAAGGGCAGCTAGGGGCCAGAGTCTCAGGGGTTCCATCAGGCTCTGTCAGACCAGCATCAGGGGAAAGATTCTTAGGTGAAGCTAGATGTTCAGAAATGTGGAGCTTCCATGTTAATTTTAGGACTAAATTTTATAAATGATTGCATCTTTTTAGACTTGGGTCAATAAATGTTAGTTAAACAGAGGTATTTGATCTTCCCATTATTTTATTTATTCTAATTTGAAAAGTATATTGTGAACATGGGGAGGGGAACTGTCAGAAACTTCTGCAAGGATTTGGGGATTGTTGGAAATGCTGTTCCCTGGTGTACTGCAGGCTGCCTTTCTACCCCATGTGCCAGCCCTCCTCTCCAGTGTTGCCTTGGCCAGCTTCTCCAGAGCAAGCCTTCTTAAGGACATCGTCCCTTCTGCAACAGGGCAATATCTGTGCTATTAGATACAAAGAATTCATTATTTTCCCAGCTTAGTTTACCTTCATATTAAATTGACATTTTCCCATGTCATTGAATACCTGGTGAAATCATTTTTAAAGTTGTGCTAGAATTTATTATTATGTATTATCCCCATGCTGTGGGCCATTGGGCTGTTTCCTGTTTTGCTCTACTACAAATACAAGAACTAGATGGTGCCCGGCTACCGATGCAAGCCACTCAAATAGGGACCAAAAGTGGAGATCCTCCGTAGAGTGGGACGAAAATGTGGCACAAAACTCGGGATCATAAAAAAGACCGGGCTTACTGGTCTGATAGAGATGGTGAGACCCCTGAGGCTAGGGCCTTAAGTCACCCTTCAGGCCTGGAGTTGAGCTCACTCCCCTGGCTTAACTCTCAGCCAAATAATAGACAGGCCTACGAGCTGAACACCTGCACCAGGGAGATGCATCTTTAGAACAGTCAACCATGGGAGATCAGAAGGGATCATTTGCACAGGAGAAAGGGAGGCAGGAATGTGTAGGCAAGAAGGCCGCAGGGGAAAGATAACCACAGGGAGGAAGTAGGAGATGAGATGTTACACTGCAGGAACATAACCAGGGTCATGTGTGTGAACTGTTGAATGTAAATTAAATCTGCTTCGTAAAATTTCACCCAAACCACAATAAAAAAAATTTTTTTGTTTTTTTTAAAGCCTCTCTATAGTCCATACTTTCTATACTCTATTGTGTGTATGTGTGTGTAGTGATAAACATCTTCATCTTGTTTTTTAGGATGTAGTCCTAAAGGAGAATTAGTGGGTGTGAATATTGTAAAACTTTACTCGAAAACACCAGATTGCAGCCCAGAAAGACTGTATTAACTTCCTTCCCTCGCAGCAGTCATGGATGTGCCTTAGTTGACAGGCGAGACGTAGAACCTAATGGAAGACTCAGCTGCACAGCTTGGGAGGTGACTGTCGAGTGTTATGCCCTGTAGTTCCGCAGAATCTGTCCACTTTCTTTTGGGTTTCAAACATGCATTTCTGAAAGCTCCCACGGTGAGGAAGAAGTTAGTCAAATCCAAAGTGGATTTGGGCCTCTCCCTGAAATCTTGGAAAATAGACCATTTTTCCTAAGGGTAGGAAGGAGCAAGGTGGAGAGTGTTGTCTAGAATCTTGTTTACCAGCACAGGCCATTTTCTTCACTGTGCCTTCTGATCTTAGGGCCCTTGTTAGGATGACAGTGAAGTTGAGAATGACTTAGGGTGCCAGCTTGTGGATCAAAGACAAACACGTGACTTGACTTGGCTTTGTGGAAACAGATCTAGTTCAGGACCGGGAGGTACTGGTCATTCTGAAGCAGGGGCCAGAGCGAGGAGAGGTGACAGGAAGTGGGGTGAGAGGGAACATCCCTGCCGTCCAGACTTTGTCACTCACAGGGCAGTAGTTGTCAACAAAAAGCAATCACTTTGCAAGTGGTGCTATCTTGAGGTTTTTGGTTGGCATTTAACCCAGCTAGGGGCATTCCTTCCCAGACTTCGCCTCAAAGACGTGGTAGCATCTCTAGCTTAGAAAAGAAACTGCTCTAATGGGGTGCTTTTTCTTAGGCTACCTCGGACCCGAGCAGCTGCCCGACTGCTTGAAAGGCTGTGATGTGGTGGTTATTCCGGCAGGAGTCCCAAGAAAACCAGGTGTGTGTTTAAAAGCCTTGCCTAACATCTCTCTACAAATCAGGTGAGAGGAATAGTTTTCATTCAAAAGGATTTAATCATATCTCTGCTGCAGAAAAAAAAAGAAAATTCCAAAGGTTCCCCAAAGGCCTGTGGGATTAAAAAGGCAAAACTCTTCGGTGGCCTAGCATTTTAAGTCCTTCACATACTGCTGTGCATCTCCTCGGCCAGTCTCACCACTCCCCAGACACGCGCTGCCATGTCCCTGTGCACACTTTGTCTGCGTGGAGCCTCTTGCCTCCACCCTTCTCCTCGGGAGTTCTTACTAAACCTTAATGGTATTTCTCAGAAGTCACCTTCCCTGATTCCCGCCCCACCCTCCACCCACACAACCCCCCGTTTTGGCTCCTGTCACACTGGCTGGTTTTCCCTATAAGATAGACAGACCTGCAAACAGGGCCCTGTCTTGTTCAGGTTTGAATTTCCCAAAACAGCCAACAAACAGCATTTGGCATGTACTTGGAAATTCGCCTTGTGCTTTGTGAATGTCTCAAATTGGGTCATTTCCAGGCATGACACGGGATGACCTGTTCAACACCAATGCCACCATTGTGGCCACCCTGACTGCCGCCTGTGCCCAACACTGTCCTGAAGCCATGATCTGCATCATTGCCAATCCTGTAAGTACTGCTGGGACCGGGCTAGAAGCTCACGGTTACCAGCTAATGTACACGAGTGTGCATGTAGTGAGAATAAGCAGGTTCCTGTGCTGAAGTGGGTAAGTTGGACGAACGGAGGAGACATCCTTAAATTTCATAGAGTGCTGTTGGCACGACCCAAGGTCTGAGTTTTAACCTGTTCTCCTGCCTCTCACTGTGTGCCTTTAGGCTGATCACTTCCCCTCTTTGTATCTTTGTTTCCCCACCTAGAAAAGGTACTTTCTTAGGAGAGAGGTAACTGCTGACCCCTCTGGGTTCTGGAGGTTTGCAGTTCCTTGTTCCTCAACATCCCTTCCCCCTTGCACCTGCACACAGCCCCATGCGCACACGGCCACCCCAAGCCCTGCTCGCTGGTTTTAGCAGATAACTTACTTCTCACTCCAACCCCAAGGGCTGCATCTCCCTGGAAAGGGGACAGCTGTGCTTCCAGAGTCGGCCTTGGTGGGACTGTCACAGTCGTGGCATTGCTCTCTCGTCCTCCATCCTAGCTGCATCTGGGCTCTGAGGGTGCTAAGGACCTGGGTCACAGGGCAGGGACCATGATGTTGACACCGGGATGTACCCGTTGATGGATGCCTAGAGCATGCACTCACATCCCCTGAGAAGAGAGTTTTGTTTTTCCAAACCAGCTTTCCTGCCCCCAGGGGGGTTGGTTAGAAGCAGATAGCAGCTATTTCTTTGGTTAGAGAGCTGACTGACTAGTGCCTAATAGAAATCTAGCATTTCTCTTTTTATTCTTTCCATATACTAAGTAAGGACCTGCCATATATTAAGTCATTGATTGTTGACAACAGCAGTCCCTAGGTAGTGTAAGTGGTTAAGTGCTGAACCAGCAACTGAAAGGTTGGTAGTTCAAACCCACCCAGAGACACCTCAGAAGATAGGCCCAGCCATCTGCTTCCAAAAGGTCATAGCCTTAGAAACCCTGTGGAGCAGTTGTGTTCTGCACACTTAGGGACACCTGAGTCAGGTTGACTCGACAGCCACAAATAACAACAGTCTTAGCACAGCCTCTATAGTAGCTGTTGTTACACACACGCTCACACACACACTTTACAGATGAAGATGCCAACGCCCTGAGTTATCACATAGATGGAGCTGGGATTTGACTCGCGGTCACCCAAGCTTTGGGCCACTGTGCTTTGTGCTCTCTCATTGGGAATGGTCATTCGGGGAGCAAAGCCCGGCCGGAGCCAGAGGTGCCCTGTGGCACCACCATCACGTTTTCAGGTCATTAGCTAAAGGGTCACCTGCATATTTGAAGTATGGCCCCAGAGGCATAAGCCCCCACTGCATTGTTTCCATAAGTGGGTAAAAGGGGTTCCTTTTAGGGTGGGGAGTGTACCCACTGTGACCCACCCTACTGTGCAGTCTGATCTGCCCATAAACAGTTACTGGGGCACTTTACTTTGGCAGTTTAGGATTTGTTGGTGGCCTGACAAAAAGATTTTTCTCTCCTTGCTTGTCTCTGCTTTCAGAATGCAGGGCAAATTCTACTGTCTCTTGAATTTGTAGGTTAACTCTACCATCCCAATCACAGCGGAAGTCTTCAAGAAACACGGGGTATACAACCCCAACAAAATCTTCGGTGTGACAACCCTGGACATCGTCAGGGCCAACACTTTTGTTGCAGAACTGAAGGTAAGGGCCCGTCACGTCTCCCTTTTCTGAACTTCTTGCCACCCTTGTTGATTTACGGGGGTAGAAGTCACTGGGGCACTTCAGGTTGCTTGTAATGAGGTGGTTTGAAGTGTTTTCCTAGGCTGCCCCTTGGTGGAAGATTTTCTAGCTCCCTGGTTGGCTCGGGGGATGCACACAGCAGGCGCTGTGGGCTGAGCTCTAGCTGGCGTCTGTCTGTCTCCAGCTCACTGTCTGTCTCGTCTTCTGTAGCATCAAGGATTCAGGCTGCCGTGTCTACACTGTGCCTCAGACAAAGGATGAGAAAAGTAGCAAGCCCCAGAAATCAGCACAACTGCCACTATAGCTGTCTTTCCCTTTCTTGGGTTATCGTAACTTGCCTCAGTTGGTTCTGATGTTGCAGTCGTCTGGCTTCTCCTGGACTGCTGGTCTAAGCTCCCAGGCTGCGGCCAGAGGCAGGTTTGAATTGGCACCAGGGTCAGGTCTGGAGCCCTTTATGCCTGCCATCAGCTGCTTTCCAGTCTCTGATGGATCCAGCAGAACCAAGTCCTCCAGCCCCCAGAGGTGACCCTCTTGCACATCGGGTCATTTTGTTCTGACTTTGCAGATGAGGAGGGCCTGTCAAAAGTAGGGGCCAAATTATCATTCACGCAGCTTAATGATGGGCACCCACTGGACCGGTGGCCTTCACTTTACTCACTGGCCACCAGCAGGCTCTGCTGCTCAACCGCTACCTTAAGTCATTCTGCAGCGCCATCAGCAGGCCTCTTCCTTCAGGCTCATTCTAGGTGTTGAGGTCACACAGGCCCCCGGGACATGGCCCCAGGTACAGGGGCTCGGTGCAGCGGACACTAAGCCGTGTGATGTGGGAGCCCGTGCAGCTGTGCGCAGGATGCAGTGGAACCGCTGCACGCAGTTGGCCTTGAGTTAAAGGCTTTGCAGAGATCACATTTAAGCTGCATCTGAAAGTTGACAAGCCAGAGGCAGGAGCTCCAGCCTCCCGACCCTTGTGCCATTTCCTTCAGGTGCACCCCTATCCCTTAGCACCCACTGGTGTTGAGAACCATGGGCGTGTGGCCAGAGCACCTCATTCCCACCAGGCTCCTGTCCTGTGCCACCGGCCACACATGGCAGGACGTCCTCTTAGCACGTTACTATTTGATAGGGGTGGAGGGAGAGCTGGGCCCCTCCCAGAGACGCTAGTGCGCAGCAGGCTTCAGTTAAGTGAACTGCCCATTGCCTCAGGAGACCCGACATCCTAGAAAATTCCTGAACTGTCTCAAGACGACGTCAGTCCCTCGGTTTCTCCTCTGGGCCGTCTCGAGTCGGCCCCGGAAGCTCCTTCCTTGCCTTTGAGCCACCTGCCCTCCACCTCGGGCTCCTGGCAATTTCCTGCCGTTGGTGTTCTGCACTCTGCTGATGCGGTGCTGGCTGTTTCTCACCCCCTGCCTTCGGTCTCACTGTCCTTTTGTCTGGCATCCTTTTCCCTTCGCTAACTCATCTTGTTCTTTCCCAGAAGAGGTTAGGTTTTTTTCCCAGGACACCTTCTCCCAAGCTGGTTAAGTGTCCCCTTTGCTCCAGCAGCCACCCCGTGTGCAGCTGTCTTAGCACAGCGCGTTGACACATCGGTTTGTGTCTGGCCTTCGTGTTGAGCAGTGAGTTTCTCAGGAACAGGCTGTTTCTCCTTGTCCCTGGTGACTAACACAGAGCCTTGGCGTGTCAGCACTGGTCAAGTCCACTGCACTGAGATCCCTTAGCCCCTGGCTCCCTGCCCCATTAAATTGTCCTGTTTGCTTCGTCTACTTGTGAGACTGGTCCTGCCTTCCGTAGGCCAGGCACGGTTCCCTGACCTAGAGCTGTTTGCTTCAGCAGCCGTGGGGCCCGAGGAGGGGGGCGTCACCTGCCGAGCTCACATCCTGCCACAGCTCCCCCAGATCCTGACTGTTGGAAGAAGCACCTGGTTCACGGGCTCTCAGAACGGGAATGAATCGGCCTCTTCTGGCAGACCCTTCTCACTTGAACCGCATGGTGTTTTGACCTCTCACAGTTCGGTTCTGTTCATTCTGTCCCGCTCACTGCTCCAGTTGCCGGACTTCTCACCCCTGGCCTTCCTGGAATAGCTTCCACACCCAGAAACAAGAGCGAGGGAGTGTGACCTGCTCAATGACAGTGTGGTAGGCCTGCATCGGAGTTCGTGTGTGAGGAATGACGTTAGCTCTGAGGAAGGGAACCGTCATCCTCTGACTCTGAGAGGATGTGAGACCCAGGTAGACCACTAGAGGAATCCCTGGGAGGAGGCAGTGTTGGGTGTGTTCAGGCTGACACGAGACCATTTGGCTGGGCTGTGAAGGAGACCTTAGCAGTGGCTGGGGCTTGAGCGCTGTCTCTTTCTTTCTGACTGTTTTGTTCTGAGTTCTGTGGATTTTTCAGTTATTGGTACGTTAGGTGAATATAACTTGTTTGAAGCTCTCTGAAGAGCGCGTTAAGAATTAATCATATTCACACTTTGATGGCCAGAGTTTGGATCCAGCTCGAGTCAACGTTCCTGTCATCGGCGGCCATGCTGGGAAGACCATCATCCCTCTGATCTCTCAGGTGCGTGTGTGCTGTGCAGGAAGCTGCAGATCTGGAACTCCTGGGAGAGGGCCTCCTGGGAGACTCGTGGCAGACCGTGACACGGTTAACTGTCCGTTGTGCTCTGAAAGGACTTCATGGGGCTGTGGTCAGGCTCCGGTATTTCAGGGGTCCAAATCCTGTATGCAGTGACTGTGGCCAGAAGGTACCCAGAGTGGTCGGCTCCCACACACCCCTTCAGTCAGTTCCAGCACCCAGTGAAAACTGCTGTTGGAACGTTACTGGTTCCTGGGCAGGCCAGAGTGAGCAGAGAAGCTGTACTTAAAAGGGAGTGAAGAAAAGGTAAACGTTAATGCTTTTCAGGAGCGCTGGTCCTTGTTTTGTAGAAGGCCCATCAATTTGGAGTAAGGCCCAGCAAGTCAGCGTCATGGACCAGAGGTGATCAGTGCTGCCCGTGGGCTGGAGGGAGGGAGGACAGGAGGTCATTGTTTAGGAAATACAGGGTTTCTCGTCATGGTAAAAGAGATTTGGTAAAAGATACCGGTGAGGGCTGCACAGCATATGATTCATGTTGTTGATGTTGCTGAATTGTACACATGGGGAAAATGTTAAACTGGCAAATGGTGTGTTATGTATTTTACATTGAAAAAATCAACATCGTAGCCCCTGAATACAGTGCATTGAGGACGTGGAGTTTTGGCGGTGCCTTTGACCTTACAAGGAAGTCATGAGAAAAATCGTACAGATCCAAATTGATGGGCATTCTACAAAGCAAGTCATCAGTACTTTTGAAGAGTGTTGATGACAGACAGTGAAAGGCTGAGGGACTGTCACTGACTGCGAGAGACTGAGGAGGGAGCACTGAGTGTATTCTGGGATCCTGGAGGGCATCCTGTCCCAGGAGAAAAGACAGTGGGAGTTCAGTGAGACCTGAATAAAGTGTGCAGTTAGTTAATGATGGGCATGTTGGTTTTCTCTTTGTTGTGATTTTACTGTGGTTATGTAAATTAACATTGAGGTAAACTGGGTAAAGTCTTACTGCTGTTTTTTACAACTTTTTGAAAGTATAAAAGTTTGAAGTAACTTCTTTTAAAAATGCGCAGGGGTGTACCTGAGGTAGATACACTCCTTGGAGAGAACAATCATGGGAGAAAGAAGGGCTGTGTATGCACAGGGAGACAGCTCAGGGGGCAGGAGTGCATGGAGGGATGGACACAGGGAAGAGGTAACTATCGGGAGGAAGTGGGAGGGGAGCTGTTGCATTGGGGTAAATTGTGGTCAGTGTCATGAGACAAAGTATATGTGAACTGCTGTATGAAAAGTGAATTGGCTCTGTAAACTTTCACCCAAATCACAATAAAAATTTTTTAAAAAAATGAGCAGGGGAATTTGTAAACCCCCTAAGACAAAGTTGATTTGTCTTTTTAATTTTTCTGAAAAGGTCTTGGTTTCAGTGCAGTGGTGATGTTAGGAACACCAGGAGCTGGGCTGAGGGTGGTGACTGGGGTTGTTAAAGCCAGAATCTGCTCATGGGATTACCTCTCCCTCTGCCTTGCAGTGCACTCCCAAAGTGGACTTTCCCCAGGACCAGCTGACGACCCTCATCGGGCGCATCCAGGAGGCAGGCACGGAGGTGGTCAAGGCAAAAGCTGGAGCAGGTAGATTCTTAGACGTGATCCAGGGTGTAGATGATGACACTGGAGGCCCGGAGAGGCTTCAGAGTTGAAGAAAGGTCACCGTGCCCTTGTGGGCCTTGGCCAGGAGTGGATCGCGGTCTGTGTTTCACTTGTGTCCACCCGGTGAGAGAGCAGCACAGTTGCTTTGTGGAGTGGGAGTGCTTTTGAGGTGCGCAAAACTCACTCAGTGCTGCCCGTGAATATGTGACAGAGGGAAACTAACCAAATTCTTGACTGTTAAGCAGGGAAATTTGCAAGTGCTATAGTTGGCAGGCCAGCCTGACTGGGATGCGGCAGTACCAGCTTTGCGACTGTGTTCTAGGCTCTGCCACCCTGTCCATGGCGTACGCTGGTGCCCGCTTTGTCTTCTCCCTTGTGGACGCCATGAATGGAAAGGAAGGAGTGGTTGAATGCGCCTTTGTGAAGTCACAAGAAACGGATTGCAGCTATTTCTCCACGCCATTACTGCTGGGGGTATGTATCTTAGGGGCTGCATCCTTGGCTGGAGGAAGGGGTGGGATCTGTAGTGCAGATACAGGAGTTCTTCCCCACCGTTTGCCCTGTACTTCAGATATCCTTTGTGTAGGGACTGCCTAGCACTGTCTGGCTCAGGCTCGGGCTGTCAAAAATGAGTGTGCCATCACAGGACTAAGAGAGGGGAGAAAACACACTGAAAACTCAGGTCTGAGCCTCGCATCACGTGACTCTTGTCAATGAGGATATGACAGCCGGGCGTTGCGCCTGCCTGAGTGTTTCTTGGCAAGCCCTCGCTGTCTGGAGGCAGCCGTGGACAGCCTGAAAGGAAAGGTCTCCCGACACTGTCTCCAACTGCACTTGTTAGTTCTTGTTCCGACCTCGGGGGCTGCAAAGTCTGATTCCTCCTGGGAGGAGGACCTGAGGTGCTGGCTAGCTGTCAGCCTTTCAGGTTCAGACATTTCTGGTTCCCCGCCCCCTCACCCTACTGGTTTGCCTTCTTGGCAAACTGCTGTTGTTGCATGTACTGCTGTTGGCGGTTGTCCCATTTAAACTGGGGTATCTGGTCCCATTGCTGTGTTCAGCCTGACTTTGGGGGACAGCTGTCCGGTATGGTTGACTCACTGAATCTTCAGCTAACAGAAACCCCGGGCTCTCACTCCATAGGCCGAGCCAGGTTTCTGCTCCTCGTGTGGGGGCAGCTGTTGAAATCAGACTCAGGCGTGGTTGCCTTCATCTCATGCCCAGAAGGAAACGGCTTTGTGGCTTGCTGCCAGAGACCCTTCTCATAGACTCCCTACATTCAAAGAGTCGTGAGACATGACCCCAGGCCTTGGGGGCTCTGTGTAGTGAAGAGACAGACACTAAGCCATGTCATTCAGTAACTAGTGCAGTGCAGGTGTGCACGGGGTGTGTTTGTGTGCACGGAGCACAGTGGGACTGGAGGTCAAGAACACACGTGTGTGATTGTCTGAGTCAGGAAAGGCTGTTCACAGGGGAGGTCGCGTGTGAGCTGTCAGGAGACAGACACTAAGCCATGGAATTCAGTAACCAGTGCAGTGCAGGTGTACACGGAGCACAGTGGGACCGGAGGTCAAGGACACACATGTGTGATCGTCTGAGTCAGGAAAGGCTGTTCACAGGGGAGGTCGTGTGTGAGCTGTCACAGCAGCAGAAACAGCTCAATTTGACAGCAGGACAGCCTCCCTGGATTCTCAGTCGGGGTCCTGCATCGGCTGTTGTGGCTCTGTCCTCCTAGGCTCCCCTAGAGAAGTGAGAGGTGAAAACAGCAACAAAGACAACTGTCGTGTTTTGCTTTGTTTTAATGGCAGACATTTACCTACTTGTTGTTGTTGTTGTTAAGTGCCGTCGAGTCCTTTCCGACTCATAGCGACCCCATGCACAGCAGAACGAAACACTGCCCGATCCCGCGCCAGCCCCACAATCCCTG